AAAGCCAATCCAATAAGAGAAAGAAAGCCAGTTAATAAGAACTCAAACAAGCGAACAGTGTTTGGTATGGACACCTTTACGAAACTATTCAGGTCAGATGCACAGTCTTTATTGAACGGAACAAAAGAAGCTGGAATTATTATATATTTTGGAGAACTCACCCTATGGTTTAGAAGAAGGATATCAATTTTTTTCATCACATCAAAGATGTTTAGATACATTTGATCACCAAATTTTTTAACATGATACATGTTCACCGAAATATTAACCAAATGAACAATATTTCCATAGTTTTATTTATATGTATTTGCAAATTTAAAGCTGTGCTAACTTTCTTGGGTGGCTCTTTTGGTTTTCGTTTGGCTAATGGCTGAATACGTGTTTTATCGCTAACTTCATACCAGTTAAATAAAATTGCTAATCCAACAGAATGTTTATACGAATATACTTTCATGCCAATCGGACAGCTACCTGATTCTAATGGTACAACAGGCCCCCAGAGTTGTTGCCACACCAGGAAATCATTGAATGTATCATTGGCTATACTGTAATACAGGTGCTAGAGAAAACTGGATGATAAAGACCCAAATAAGTGGCCAACGCTCAGTTACACAGTCTTTTATTGAACCGAAGAAAAGGAGCAGGAATTGTTATACATTTATGTTCACCCTATGGTTTAAAAAAATAACTTCATAAAGCTGCATGCACCGTAGATGCAAGACACAAAGAAGAACATTGTGAAGAGGTTTTAAGTAAAAACAAAGTTGCAAGAACTCCTTATTCGGAATTTGAACGAATTTTAAAAGCCTACCTTATTCACCGTTACTTCATTTGCAATGATGTTATCAATGTCAAGAGCTTGGACACACATCTTCCACATGTACAAATAGTCATAAATGTTTCAAATGTGCCGGTGACCACCCATATAATAAAGATTGCAAAAATCCGATAAAATGTGTAAATTGCGGAGAAGCACATATGGCTGGATCTCCTCAATGTCAACGTAAAATTAATTATCGGAAAAGTAAATACAACAATCACAATTTTCGGCTGTTGCCACTACCTCCAATCCTACTAAACCTAATCCATAGTTTTCATCACCATCAACAATCTTTTCATCAGTATTAACCGCAACAGTTAAAGTAAATGAAACAGCAGTATCAGTTGCAAAAGCTAAGAAAGGTTCACAACCACGATCATCTTCCTAAGGTGACAGTAATTTTCAAACAACAATAATAAATCTTATACAAGAGGGTATACATAAATCTCAAGCTATCTTACGCCGAATCAGACCGAACAGAGCGTCAGTGCGGTAGTAGCTAATAGAAGTAGCCAAGGTTTAATTTTAATGATGATCGGGAATTTTAATGATGATCAGACAACCTTAACACTTGAATCAATCAAAGTGGCGTTTGCTAATACGCCAAAGCTTATGTGGTACGCGAATCGCAGTAACCAAATTTTGTCGCCATGCCCCTGCTTTCAATCAAGCACACTGAAAAACGCATGGTTTCTTGAAGGAAATGAATCACAAAAGTATCTGTTATTGTCTGAAAGTGATTACAAATTTTTGAAGTAACACACTATCAAAACTTATTGCGTACGCTATTATAAACTGGAATATTGTGATGGGTCGAATGATTATCGGTCAGCGTTTTATGTGCCGTGCATATTGCTCCATCATCTGTGCAATATCGATAGTTTTATTTTCGAACTCGTTTAGGATAGGAAGAGACATTAAATATACCACGACTCTCTATAATGTAGACATCATAATTGAGACAGAGAGCGCAAGCGCTTTCCTGCTAACTGTGTTATTTACTTCTGAACAATGAGCTATTTTAAGTCTGACCTGCTTTCAGACTTGGGACCAGTAGATCATTTGGATCTAAAAAAGTTATAATTAATTTTGCCATAAAGCAAGACCATCAAAGCCTTAGACATCTTAAACAACTGTAGATTATAATTATAATACACATATTGAAGAAAGACATCGAAACATTGCAGTTTGAATAAAAAAATGAACATTCTCTTAGATTAAACGTTTAATGAGTATTTCAAGAAGGAAAGGTAACCAATGGTTAAATACAATTACTAGATCGGCATTTTGCGAAATTGAGACTAGCGTTGTGCTTAGGGGACGCTACCCAGAAGCACACTGACGCTGTTACCCTTCTGATTCGCCGTAATCAGATCGATTTTCGAATCATCATTAACATCAATTGCAAAAACCGACATCGGTCCATTTCCGGTAGCATAATCCTCCTTAGCCTGGAATGTCCTATTTCCACACTGACGCTCTTGTTCTTCTGATTCACCGTAATCAGATCGATTTTCGAATCATCATTAACATCAATTGCAAAAAACCGACATCGGAGCACTTCGGATAGCATAGTCCTGATGAGACTGGAATGTCCCGTTTCCATTGCCTAGTAGCACACTAACGCTACCGGCAAAGATATTCGCCGTAATCAGATCGATTTTCGAATCCTGATAAACATCAATTGAAAGAATGGACCGTGGGGCGATCCCTGTGGTATGTTCGACATGGGATGGAAATAACCCATGGAATCGTGCACCTAAACGACAAAGTGCATCACAGCTACTAACTAAACAAAGCCACGAAAATTCCTCGAGAGAACAGTTGGTAGATCGGTTTCTTCGTAACCTACGAACGACAGCAGTCTCGTTCTATGAAAAATGGGAAAATGTTCTACTGTTTGTTCTCTTGTCTTAGTCAGTAGTTGTTTTGTTTCCTCAAGTGGTTTTTCGCTCAGAATCGAGACTGAAGTTGCTCAAATGTTTCGGGCGTATTCGATTAATCGAATCGGCGCTGGTATGTGTGATTCGATATTCATATGTAAACCGAGAAAAAGATCCAACACACGTTCTTTTTTAAATCAATATTAAGCGGCAACAACAACTTCTCAAACTTGTATAGATTCTGTCATTTGTACATCTGCTAAATATGTTAAACCTTCAGCTAAAATTTTCGGTCATCTTTATATTTCGTTTTTTGATCCTGACTCCGAATATGATATTTTTACCGCATAAAAGCTGGAGTATCAAGGCGGATACAAAGTATCAAGGCGGATACAATGACGCTAAAACGAAGGTTTTAGCTCGCCACCCAAAAAACTAGACAGGTTTACAATGACTCACCCTTATTTCCCATTCATCCATTCGGACGTTCATGGTGGACAGGCGTCTGTCCTCGAAGTGGACCTGACCTAATACTACTTTTTAAATCACCTTTCAACGCTGAATAAGAGAAGATAATTTGAATGTTCCGGCCAAAAGCCCAAGTCGAAAAATCTAACTTTGTTGAACATCATCGTTTTTTCGGGTTTTGAGGTCGTTCGACGTTTCTAGATTTTTCGGCATAGGAGAAACGTTTGGAAATATTAAAAGCTAAAAAAGGATCGTGTTTAACCACGTTCCTAATAGCCATGCACTTTATATGCGCGGATGTGTGGACGAAGAAAGGAAGAAATTGTAAGTTTTATCATAACCCAGGTCAAAGAATCTTGCTGTAAGATCTTATAAGATTCTTGTACGATTCCGTCTGATTTCATAAGATTCGTATTGGTATG